GCCCTGGACGCCGAGATCCCCGGGACTGGGGTGGTGTGAGGGCGCGGCAGCCTCCTCCCCTTCTACACCTGGGAGAGGCTGTGGGGTCACCAGCAGTCAGCCCTGCCCACCTGTACCCCCGGGGGTGCACGGCGATCAGCGCAGCGCCCCGGACCCAGAAGGATGCAGATGCAGCCCGCAGTGCCGGGGTGAAGACGACGTCCCGGGGTGGAGGGGAAGCGGAGAATCCCGGTTAGGTTCTGGGGCGAGAAGGCTCTGCTGGAGGAGGCCGGGCTGTTCAGAGCACCGGAGTCGGGGACCCGGGCCTGGGCCTGAGTCCGGCGCCCCGGCCCCCTCCCTCTCCCCCGGGGTCCGGGTCGCCAGGTGCCTGGGAAGGGAGGCGAAGACCGCTGAACTCGGGGCGACCCGGGTGCCCCAGGGAGCGGAGCCCGGAGATTAGGAGCCGGCGTCATGATAGGCGAATCTCGGGCGCCCCAGAAGAAGCGGAACTTCAGGTCCTCTGTAAACTTTCTTTCTTCCCACTTTCGCGGCAGGAATCCTGGCTGACCTCCACCCTCCCACCCCGCTGCTGTGCCGGGTCGGCTCCTGGGCCCCGGCGCGGCCTGGCTGGGGTGTCTCCCCAGCTGCGTGCTCTTGCTGGTGAAAGCCATGGACATGACTGTAAAAACTCCCACGTAAACTTATGCGAGACAGACCTCACGTTAACGGTAAAAATGTCGAGCTACTGTTTCTAGATTCTAGGAGAGATTCAGCACCTCTTCCCCCTATTTTCTTTAAAGGTTAATATAAATCATGCTCGAATTTAATCAAGTTTTTCTTCGCTTCTGCTCTCCATTGTAATGGTCCTTGACCTTAGTCCGTGACTAAGGTGTGGGATCGCAGCATGCGCGCCACACATTCACATGACAAACGATTTACTTGAAGGAATCAGATGGCGACATTTTGAGGTCTATCCTGAGTAGCATCGTTGGGGCAAGCAGGTTGGGAACTCAGCAGAATTTCTCCTTTTCTGAGAAATCTCCCTTTTTGCTCATAGTGGCTGCATGAGGCCCACCTACATTCCTAGTGTAATCTCCCCTAAGTTCAACTCATTGCCGATCT